GCTAGCCGTGGGGTTATGTTACCTTTACTGTAACTGTCAAGCTATAGGCTCATCTTTCTCTAAGGCCCATGTTCATCCATTTCGTTTTGCAGCCCTGTATTATTGTTTTGAAGTCACTGTTGTCCTAATGTTTCTTTCTTTTTTTCCGAAGACAAAGCGCAAACCAGCTAAAAAAATATACGGGGCTATGCTCTTCTACTCAATTGAAGACGACACGCAAAAATTCGGGCGCTTTTGAACAAAAAAATCATTTTTCACCCGAAAAAGTCACTTACGTCAGTCTTGCACCAAGCCATTCAATTATAGCTTTTTACACACATGATTTTGGACAGTCTATGTAGCTGGTAACAGTTTTGCATTTTTAAGTCTACATAACTGGTAACATTGTACATTGTACACTGTACATTATTAGTTTCCTTGAAGATGTCTATTAACATCAGTTCTTCATTTTCCCTTCTTTCCAAGTGAAAGGAATCCTCTCCTTTCTGTGAACTGTCACTCTATATATCTGCTATGTACAGTCTGTAGACATCAACAGACAAGTATAGTGCATGCAGTCAACGAAATGATTAAGCAAGCTAACATAGGAAAAAAGAAATTGGTACATGCCGGGTTTTTTGGGTTTTGGGTCATAGAAAATCTATGGCCCCAAAACCTGTCTGCTTGCTATTGAATTTGCCATTAAAGGGTAAAAGAAAATGTTAGAAATTAATTACTGCACTGTTAATGTTAAAAAAGATTAGTAACATTAGAGGATTATTGCATACTTACAGATAACTTCTTAATCCTTTTTTTCCCAGGATAAGTAACAGAACCTATACCACTAAGTGGCTACAGATTAATGCATAAGTATCATTAGCAAGTCTTGTTGGAAAACGTTTACATCAGAAATCACCTTGTGCAATAATCTACTATTAACAGCTGTATAGAACATGCTCAGATGTTGAGTCAGTTAGCATTGAATGTACTGGCAGATGTCCAGTCGATAATGGTTATATCAGATAACTGATTAGCACGTGTTAAGGTCCAATGAGGACAGATGATGACTAGCAGGTGACACCAAAAGGAACCACATAAAAGATTTCTTGAGAATTTTACACCACTTATGCTCAATTTTAAAATACTTGGCACTCTGAAGTTCATGGAAAACACTGACTCAAAGCAAAACTACTTCAATGCCTTGTGGCCCAAGAACACGTGGAATCCTGGCGCATGCTCAGATCTAAACACCACTGACCGTAAAGGCAAGACTTCTGCTCCTTGTTGTTAACTCTGTTAACTTGCATTTAACTGCATTATAATGTTAAGGGTTTACAGCAAAACTAATAGCCAGCAGAATACATTACTCCATCATTCAAAAGCTCAATAAACTATAGCAAGATATTGACAGAATAACAACTCACAACAGTTTGTATGCCATGTGTTGAATATGGGCCATTTATAACTTCCCAAGTGGTTCAATGTGTCTATAAACCACAGAAATGCATTGTCCACTGATATGACAAAACACTTATGTCTGGAAATGCATGGAGGAATGAAATTGGAAGATTTGTGACTACTACACTTGATGAAATGGTCTATCACTACAACAGTGAACAAAGGTAAAACATACCATAAGTTGGTCCCCTTTCGGAAGGAACCTTCTCTCAGGGGGCAGTGGTGGAGAGGAAGAGACCTCCCTGTCAGTCTCAGCAGATCTGTTATTGAGTGCATCACCAATCATGGCTTGGGGATAGTTGTCGTACAGTGCATTAGGGTCGTGTTCTGGTGGAGGACTGGTGTTTTCATGAGCTGGAACTGAATAGGTCCTGGATGGAAATCTGCTTGCTGGCTGCCATGTTGGGGGTGCTGAGTGGGGTCCATTGTTACTAGGCTGCTGAATAAATAAGGAATCTATCACTGCCAAAATTCACTACAGTTTAAATACAATTAAATGTAATTAAACTAAATTAATGACTTGGAACAAGAGCAGGTTGGCATCAGCATTCTCTGGAATTTGTGTCTCGTCATTTCTTAACATTGTCCTAGTGTTTTCATTCTAACAGTTCTGGTAGTAGGGTATGCAGGCTAGACTGGGGTTAGCAGTTTCATGAGTTGTTCTATGTATGTGCCATTGCACATACTTCATCACATTTGGGCATCTAGCACACATTGTTTTACCGTGTTGTAGAGTTTCTCCCTCTTCATCCCTCCCTATTCAGTGTTTTCTACCTGCTGGTTTTGTTCTTTAAACTTTTTACTGAACACAACAGATTCAGTGTGGTGGGTCAGGGTAAGTGGGGACATGTGGAGCATATGGGTGGCCAGATCAGGAAGATCAATGGGGTACAATGCCTCAGTCCAGCATCGCAGTTTCAGCCCCCCTGGCAGGGGAGCTAGAGCACCCATCATCCTCTTGCAACATCTGCTTTACTGCTTTGGAAGCACAATTAGCATCGGCCAGCTAGACCATATGTACAGGGTAAAAAGAAATTGAATTCCAGCTTGCCCTTGGGACAAGACAGAAGCTCTCACATTTTGCTTGCCCTGGGCATGTCATAGTTTGCTCTTTTAATAATATAGTTGAGACAACTTGCCTGATCCCTTGCCCATTGGGCAAGTGAGAATGAAAAGCTACTGTACTTGCCCAGAGAGGAAATCTACCTGTCCTGGACAACCAGGCGGCTCCTTTTTTGAGCCGCATATGTATCTAATGATTTGCAATTACATGTAACTGCAGAGTAAGAATGACTTCCAACCTGATACTGCATTAAGGCACTGAGTTCTGCCTCAAATGCTCTGATTCGGGTTATTGATTCAGCAAGCTGAAAGATAAAAAAGAAAATCATTTTTAAGTATGCAAAAGAAAGCAATATTTTCAGTGCATTGATTGCTTATTGAGAGCTCCTTTCCTTTGATGGGTAGAAAACATCTCACTGAGATTAAAAATTGGCTAGAAAGAACAAGGGTCCAAGTGTTACCCTTTACTCTATAAAGATGCTTCCCAATGGCAACTAATATTTTTGCCATAAAACACACAGATTAAATTTCGATAAACATTTAAAAATAAAAATGAGTGATAGAAATTTTACACAACGTTTCAATGTCGTCATGACATCATTATCAAGTGACAAGAAAATAACGGTTCAATAGTGTTATATATGCGGTGAGAGGTGCGATTGTTCATTAACATATTTGTTTAAACAAATAGTTTCACGCCGATGGAATCCGATTGTGTGTTCAGGCTAGGTTTCTTCTTTCTAATAAACAGCATTTCGTAAATCAAACAATCCAGTTTTCCGTTGCATTTCTTTAGGACGGAAAAATTATATGCAAGGTCGTCGATGTTGTAAAGGCCGTGATCGTTCTTTAAATGCTTACCGATTGCGGAGAACCTGTGTTCATCAATACATTGGTGCAAATGCCGGCTGGTATACCCGACACGGTTTTGGTTCACACAAACGTGCAAACCAAAACCACCTCTAATTAATCAACAATGTGTAATGTACAATTACCAATGTGATCTGTGCGATGCAGAGTATGTCGGGTATACCAGCCGGCATTTGCACCAACGTATTGATGAACACAGGTTCTCYGCAATCGGAAAGCATTTAAAGAACGATCACSGCCTTTATAACATCGACGACCTTGCCAATAATTTTTCCGTCCTAAAGAAATGCAACAGAAAACTGGATTGTTTGATTTACGAAATGCTGTTTATTAGAAAGAAGAACCTAGCCTGAACATGCAATTGGATTCCATCCACGCGAAACTATTTGTTTAAACAAATATGTTAATGAACAATCAGACCTCTCACCGCATCTATAACACTGTTGAACCGTTATTTTCTTGTCACTTGATAAAGATGTCATGACGACATCAAAACATTGCGTAAAATTTCTATCGCTCATTTTTATTTTGAAATGTTTATCGAAATTTAATCTCATTCATGACCGAATTGTTTCCAAAAAATTCACATGCATGGCAAAATCATTTCACATGGTTGCAAAAAAATTTCACATGCATTATATGAAGTTCATAATAGAAAAAAGTTCACATGCACGACAAATACTTTCACATGTGTTATAAAGATTTCACATGCATGTGAATATCTAATATAGCAAGCATGTATATTTCCAACATTTATTTCACAATTCCTTCTTTTCGCAAACTTTTCACACTCTTAGTAAAGAATTAGTATTTGCGTGAAAAAAACCCTTACGTGACACGCATCGATTGATAAGAATTGTAAACTCATTTGATAAAGTAGTTTGTTTCCCTCAGAAAATTCACTATGGAAGAGATATTGTCATTAAATCTTAGAAAATAGGTAAATGTGACAATGACGGGGAACTAAGCGCCTTAGCTATGCGGAACAGAAAAATTACATATTGGTGTTAAATGTTTCCAAGAATAAACGAAATCTTATCGGCAAATTGTTGAAACTCGAATATATTTTTTAAGCAACATATTATTGTATCACCTGCAATTGCTTGAAAGTCTGAATTCTTGGATTATTTANGGATTGTTTGATTTACGAAATGCTGTTTATTAGAAAGAAGAAACCTAGCCTGAACACGCAATCGGATTCCCTCCACGCGAAACTATTTGTTTAAACAAATATGTTAATGAACAATCACACCTCTCACCACATATATAACACTGTTGAACCATTATTTTCTTGTCGCTTAATAATGATGTCATGACGACATCGAAACGTTGTGTAAAATTTCTATTGCTCATTTCTATTTTGAAACACACAGATGACATTTAAAACTGAAAACATTCTCACTGCTGGTTCACTAAAGGTGAAGGAAATATTACCTCTTTTTGAAGCTTGTCAGATGGTTTTTTGGTATACTCCTCCCTTGTTTTCTGTAATGTTACAAACAAATAGTGCACAAGAGTCAAGTACACATGGCCTTGACAAATACATGTACCCTGAAGCTAATTTATTTACTCAGGCATTGCCTGCCATTTCTTGCCTCATGGCTCTACACAGGAATACAATAATTCATACTGTCATCAATAATCAGTAATTAACAATTTTTGATCAATCAAAAAAAAAGAATTATAGCTTAAGTCAAACAAACAAACAAAATCATAATAACCATTACATAGCTGAAGTATTCACCTTATAAAACTGCCTCTCCTGATCAAGCACCCTTTGAATGGTTACTGTTCTCTCATCTTTTACTGGGTCTTTTGGTACCTGAATTATAACAATCATACCATAACAATCATATTGCAATGTGATTTACCTAATAAGCAAACAAACCAAACTTTATTCATTCTTCGGTAACTTAATTGTTGAAAAAAGAATTGTAATTGTTGTAATTGTGGTAATAAATAAATAACAATAATAATAATAATAATAATAATAAATAAACAGTACATCAAATGCAATAAAACAATATTAAGATATTAATTATAAATTTTATAATACATGTACACATGTTTACATAGAGTGTATTTGGAGGTGCAGTGGCCTCATGGTTAGTGCGCTTGTCGCCGGATCGAGCGGTCTGGGTTTGAGCCCTGACTGGGGACACTGTGTTGTGTGCTTGAGCAAGACACTTTGCCCTCACAGCGCCTCTCGATCTCCACCCAGGAGTGTAAATGGGTACCGACGAATTGTTGGGGAAACCTAACAAATTGCGGGGGAGTGACCTGCGATGAACTAGCATCTCATCCAGGGGGAGTAGAAATACTCCTAGCAGCTTCATGCAACAACAAGGTTTATTTGAACTGTAAAATTAACTTAATTACTAAGGTTCTGTAGTTTCATGCTACAGAAACCAGGATAAGCTCCAGCAACTATGAGCCAGTCGGCTCCAAGGATTCACATTTTAGATATTTAAGTGAATTTTGGCATGAACTAAAAAAAGACATACAAAGGAGGCTGCTATCTCTATGCTTAAGTATGATTTTGTTCAAAGGATTAGACAACAAATGAAGACACAAATTATAAGTGGAAACAAACCATGGCCATCTAAAGTCATAAAGAATCACCAGCAGCAATAACATGTTTGTCCAGGTTTTCAGGGCTATTTGTAATTTTATTATGAGAGTTCATATACTCTTATTACATGGCAGCAAAGTTGTACATCTTATGTACATTCGTAACTTAGATGTAAAATGTCTATAATATTATTTCACACTGAAAATGAAAACATTTTAGAATTTACATGTTTATCAGCATGTTAAATCTTAAATAAGTAGTTTCCTCATTTCCTCATCTCCAAACATTAAATGCCAGTGGCAGCCACTCATGAAAAGGCCCCATTGAAAATGAACAGAGAGATGGAGGTGGGCATGTATACATGTACACTGTTTGTATCTTCCAATACACCTTGTTATAGAGCTAACACTACCAGATATTTCCACCCATCCAGTCCTACATTAGCCTACTTCAAACTTTGAGCGTCATTCACACAAACAACATACAGTCAACTTACAATGTTCAGTGGTGGTGGAGGTGGTGACGGAGATCCATGCCGTTCTGCTAAAAATAATTAAAAGAAATAAGACTGTAAAGTATGCAAGAACAATAATTTTACTTCACACATGTCGAGTTACCAGCCTAATTATTCCCTCCCCTTCTCTCACACCAAGCATAAAAAACAAACTGAAAGAGCAGCATCTCTATATGAACAATGCATTACTTGCTATAATGATGTAACTATTAGTCTGTGGTTCACAGAGATCTACAGCTCTGTCAAAAAATATCCAAAAACAAAACAAAACAAAACAACTTAAGGTTACTTCCCACCTTCGCAGGTGCCCTTCGGGAAAAAAATCGTACGCGCGCCAGTTTCAATAAAACCCCACCAAACTATATATCATAAGAAAGCTTAATAAATGTACTTTAAGAAAAAAAATACAATTTCAGCAATGTTTTCTTTCAGGAAGTGTCAGGAGGCGGTAAGGCGTGAAATGACCGAGGCTTCTTCTATTGAATTTATCGGGTATCGGATTCCGCAGTACGAGCAAAATGGCTGCACAGTCTTATTCACAAGGCATCAATCAACAAAA